GACCTTGGCTTGAAGGTCACTAACTGCTGATGCCATAGGCCTCACTGCTGGGGAAACTCTCTCCTTACCCAGAAAATGACATCCAGAGTGTTTCTTTCCTGTTCTCTATTTTGTTTGAAAACACTGCCAAAATGAATTTTATTTTAAAAGCCCAAGTTATTTTGGAAGCATTAAAGTACCAAGGTGTTTCTGAATGTTTATGGTTGTGGGACAAGCCAATTTAAAATCAAATGAATGTGTATAAAAATATTCCCCCTTGGCTAAGCGCATAAAAGCCAAAGTTCAACTTGTGGTGAATTTTTATTGCCAAGTTATATACACCTCTCTCTGGACAAGGGTTGGTCATGAGATGTTCAATACCATCTGACCTTGAAGTGGCTGCTACCCAGCTCACGGTGGGTCTGAAGGATACAGTGATCTTTCATGTGTATTTTTAGGGCATTTGAAGGCTTTCAACAGAAAGAAGTTGCTTTCTCTAGCATAGCTCTCTGGACTCACCTCCATTAGTGTTTTTACTAGGAAAGCTGGAAACTATAAAACTGTAACAACAACGCAAAAAATATATTAAAGGGAGAAAAACAAGCACACAGTGCCAAAATCTATAAAACATTTCGATGACTGGGGTGGGAGGAAGGAGCCACTTTTTGATGTTCAGTATTTATACAGCTGCCTATTTAGTGGTAAGAATTCATAGCAGCTGTGATACCTCTAAAGCAGGAAACCACCAACTCACTGTAATATTGATATTTAAATGCCTTTTATGTTTTAATCACTCCCCATGCAGGAATGTAGAATCCTGAAGAATTTTTCCTCCTTGAGGGCCATCGTTTCAGCATTGCAGTCTAATTCCATCTATCGGTTAAAAAAGACCTGGGCTGCTGTCCCAAAGTAAGTTCCCAAGTGTCCACTCTGCTTTTCTTGGGCTGGGGTGGTTAGTTGCTGTGTAACTGCTGTGGGTCCTCAACCTCGGAGCTCATCTTATGTAACTGGAGAAACATATTCGAAATCCTCTGTGTGTTCCAGGCAGTGTGCGCTTTACACATAATCATGAAGAAATTCTGAGGCAGGGCTGCTCTGGAAATCATGCATGTTGTCAGAGTGCCAACGCCCAGTGGCCTTTAGGGTGATTTGGAGGATGTGCTTATTATCTGGAGTTTGAGGGGCCAGATTGTAGAGCAAGGAGGTTACAGCAATTTGCCATGACTTTGGGTTCTTTTTCAGCCTCCTTCCCAAGCACTAAGTCATTCCAGGTTGTGAGGGAAAATGTGTGCAGATCGGACATTAGTTCTTGGCTGTTCAACAGGAAACTATTTAGTCTTTTTCTGTTTCAGCATATTAAAAGCTATCTTAAGTGATGTTAAGAACATCTAAGTGGGGCCAGACAATGGTGTAGCAAGTAACACAACTGTATCCACATGGGAAGGTCCCAGATCCCCATCCTGGGACCTCTCTGTACATGCTGGGTATGGTCTACTTGGGAGAAGTAAAAAATTATTCTTTGGTAGGTAAAAATAAATAAATTGAAATGGTTCATCTTTATGCCTCACTTTATAGAGCAGTAGAAGCCACAGCCACTTGGACTCCAAAGCTCGTGCCATGTTTATGATCCCATCTTCTATCAGTAGAAGAACTGGCAGATCAGCTTTTCAAAGTCCAATGCCATTTTCTTGATTACCATCCTTTTCTTGGGTTCTTTCCCTTTTATTATTTTGAATTATGCATGTGATTCTGTTTGTGAGGGAGATTAGTTGATTGGTTTCCCTTTGTGTTTCTATCTTATGAAATAAATGAGTCATATAAAATCATTAGATGATAGGCCCTGGTGGAATACGATGGGAAAAGCAGGGGCACACAGTAAGTATCCTCTTCCTCATCACTCCCACCATCACTACTCTCCACCCAATTACAGTATCAAAATAATTTCTAATGTTATAAAGTATGGTAGTCACTATAGTCAACAACAACAAAAATCTACTGTATATCTCAGAGTAGCTGAAAAAAAGGATTTTGAAATTTCCTAACAAGTAGTGACAAATAGTTGATGGATTTACTGCTCACCCTGATTTAATAATTTTATGTTATATTCTCATACTGAGAAATCATATTGTGCCCCGTACCTATCTACAGTTATTGTAAGTCACTTAAAAACATCAACAACAGAGGGTGTGGTGATAAAACGAAGCCTTGTTCAATTGCAAACTAGTCTGATCACACTGACAGATAATCCTGCCTTTCTCTGGTAGTTGATAAATAGAACACTGGAAAGCTACCTAGCCAGCCTATGATTTTTTCCCACTGAGAGGTTGAGGCCAAAACACAAGTAAAAGAATTAGTGGGCTTATATCTCAGTCTCATTAGTTGCCATATGAGAAAGTCCGTTCTCCCAGTTGACTTTTTAAACTGTTTAGCACAAACAAACAAGCACCCTTCAAAACTGCATTTTATGCAGCATGGGTATCTGGTTTATTTCTTGGTTAGTCGGTTTATATTTTAGCAGAGGTACTACAAATATGTCACAGTTCCTCAGAGAAAACACTTCTGAATCAGCTTTATATGTTCTCCATTGCTAAATTCAAGGGACAAGGCTGTGATAACATTTTGGGTGATCACTTTCCTTCTAATCTTTTATGTTTTATCTTTCAGTAGACAGAGAGGACATCTATTTATTTCTTACTATTCAGGGCTATGTGTAATTCAGTTTCATTATTTTCTCTGGAATATGAATAGCTCTAGTTGTTTTCTTTATTATATGACTAATAATGTTATAGTCATAAAACAAATGGATTCTTAGTACCCTTTTCATAATGATGAAGGTGTTGGATAGATAATGATAGTGGTCCTGTTTATTCTTTGCCTTCAGAATCATCCACTCACTAACCCTGGCAAGATGTGGAGAGAAAAGCATGAGGCTTGTGGAGCTTTAGTGTGCTGCCTAGGGACGAGGGCAGAGGTGCCTTCTGTATGTGACCCCACTTCTCATACAGTCAGTCCTATGACCCAGCACAAGTATTTCCATTGTACAGATGAGAATATTGAACCTCAGGAAAGGTGAATAATTTGTCCAAGACAATTTAGGAAGGGCATGGCAGAGTTAGGATTTGAATCCGCCCCCTCTGGCTGCAGAGCCTATCCTGGTTCCACCATCTGTTCTGAGTCTGAGCAACAGTACTGGCCTGAGTCAGAAAATTTGGGTCTGTTTCTGAGGCTCTCAGCAGTTACTAGTGGAAACTCCGACAAATCTCCAGCACTGGCATCCTTGTCTCTACTGAGGGGCTGGCCAGTGGGACCAACAGGGCCAGCCTCTCAGTTCCACTGGGCCTTGTGTGTACTGCTAAGATCATCAAATTCACTGAAGAGAACTTGTCTTGGTTGAACAACTTGATGCCCCAGTTGAACAGTCCTTTTTCATGATTATCACATGCATGACTAGAAAATATCCCTCTCTTCACACAGGTGGCCATATTCACCTTAACCAACCAAACAAAAAGCCACCCTGCATAAAAAGTTCACTGGCTTCATCTGTGCTCACATTACCCACCAACCCTGAGATCGCTGCAATCCTCCCACAGCTGTAGATACAGAGGACAGCCGAGTTTTACTAGCTCTTCAATGTTAATGTTTTCTTACTCCCTCTTCATAGGGACCGAATGCTGATGTTTGAAGAACTTTCGGATATCTTCTCAGACCATAACAACCATCTGACCAGCCGGGAACTGCTGATGAAGGTGAGGCCGTAGTTGAGGGTACTGGGGACACTAGTGAAAGCTCTGGAATCCGTCCAGGGGAAGAGTAGCTTGAGGACTCCTTCAGTTCCTTCAATTTCAAATCCCCTGAGAAAGCCTGCAGTGACCAGAAGGCAGAGTGTTTGTTTTTCATGCAGAGTCCAAGAAGTTTGGAGTTAATACAAATCCAAAGTCCAGTTGGACTCTTTCCTTCTACCCTCCTCAACTTCCTGGTTACACAACCAGATTGTGAAACTTGTATTCATATGTGTACCTCTTTAATAAGCTACTCTGCAAATATCAAGTGCTGGCATTGGGTGGGTGAGAGGCTCTGGAATATTCCTTCTCAGCAGAACATCTCCTAGCATGACAGAGGCCAGGCCTGCAATTCCACATCCTTTATTTGGACTAATTGCACAATCTGTCAGTCAGCAAAGTCTGTTGTACACCAAATGAGAGCCGACTTCTGAACTACGTGCTAGGTAAAGATGTAGCTTGTTTCTTTTAATTTCTCCAGACATTTGTTGAAAGCCTAATAATTACAAAGCACTAAACCTGCCTCTAGAAATATGAAGATGACTAACTCAGACCCTCTTTGCAGGAGTTCAGTCTCTGTTGTAGATGTTGACACTAAACAACAAGAGTAAGTAGTCAAATGAAGACAAGTAACAGGAGTGAACTATCATCAGAGGAGACCTAACACAGGCCAGATGCTATCCTGACAGCCTTTTTATAAAGCAGATTTTATCATCCACCTTTCACGGATAGCCAAAACTCAGAGAGGGAAGTAATGTGCCCTAAGGCACACACCTGGTGTCCAATCACTGTGTCTGATCAGTTAGGCATGAAGCTATTTCTTCTGACCCTTTGGAGTAAGGGGCAAGGTGATCAAACAGAGCTTCTGAGAAGACAGATCAGTCATTCAGCAAATGGACGCTCATTGGTGCTAGGTTTTGGAGGTAACATCATTTTGAAGGCAGTCTCTGACCTTAAGGAGACTCCAGTCCCATGGACGAGTTAGACGGTTATAAAATGGTCTATGTCCTGCCATGAAGAGAAGCCCTGAACTGGTGACTTGCATCTCATTTTCTGTAAATTGAAGACAACAGTAGCATTTGGTCTACTGACCTTGTAAAAGTGACTTGAAGATAACCTGTGGTGATATTTGAAAGCAGTATGCAAATATAAGTTGTTTTTATTGAGTTGTCAGAAAAGTCATGCTGTATTTCTTCTGTTCTTCTATGCAAAAATGCATCATGACTTTTCTGACAACCTAATAGTATTTGGTGAGCTATGTACTTATAACACTAAAGTGCATATAACAAATGGAAATGAATAAAGTATAAGCTGCACATTCAAGCTTGGGGAGGACACTTCGAGTGGGAATGAAAGCCAAGTGGAGGTGGGATCACTAAGAAAAGGCATCTAGTGAAGCACTCTTAAATTAGTCCTTCCCATATGGCTGTTCTCCTAAGTTCCACTCATCCTTCTTGTCTCAGCATGGACTCCCCTTTTTCTGGAAGCATTTCCTTGATACTCTCAGGTCTGATCAAGTCCCTTCCCACGTGCTCCAGGAGAAGCCCTCCATTTCTGTGTCCTGGTCCTAATCATGTGCTCTTCTGGAATTGCCTGTGTACTTAACCAGTCTCTCTACTGGCCTGTAAGCCTCTCGCAGGCAGGGATAGATATTTCTCGCTTTTATGTCCCTTATGCCTCACCTAATGCCTGGACATGGAGTATGTGTTTAAGAACTATTGTCTTGATTGCGTGAAGTGGTGGGTCTTGTCATTCCTGTGACTTTAACAATGTGCCCACTATTAGCCAGCCATTTCTGAGTAGATGATATGAGCAGGACAGGTTTTGCTAACGGCTGACTTTGGATTTGGCCTACCTGATTAACTGCATGCTACACAATGATTGCTGAGATCACATTACTCCCTGTTCTACTTCCTCCTGGACTTGCAGACTTTAAATGGAAACCCATCTGGCTGGAAGAAGATGGCTTAGTAGCTTCCCTGTCAGTAATATGAAGCTAGACTAACTGGAGCCACACATTTAAATCCCAATAGCTCTGAGTCATCCTTCCCAAGGAGATAAATGGATGACTCTGGAGCTCTTTGCCTGGTGGCAGTCTTCTGGCTGAAACTTTAGGAGCAAAGCTATATCTAGACATTACAGATCCCATAAACCTTTCTTAAAATGTAAAAGTTTACCCCAAATTTCTTATATATGGCTCTCATCCCAAAGAAATGAAAAACTTGGCCATGAATTCATGTGGTCTGCACATTATCACTAGTGATAGTGGAATGCTTTGAGTAGTCCATGTATGTATATAGGTTCCTTTCCAGTCGTCTTTGTTGATCATTCTTCATATGGAGTGTATAATTCTGGTGCTAATTTTCAACATGGTTGTAAAAAAAAATGAAATCAAGGTACTTAGTTAGAGTCTCAGAAGAGCCACTAAGAAGAACTGTTGGCCTTTATCCTGAACATGTAACTCCCAGACTTCCACTGATTTATTGGGTAATATTAACTTTAAATTGACCTATCTTCATTTCAACTTCTGGGTGGATATACTGTGCCACTTCTGTAAGTGTGGCTCAGGCCACATGGTAATTAGCAAAATCTGTGGTTTTCTTTCTAAGTGTTGGGAATATGTTATTTCTACTCAAAAATGATCTTACCTGTTTGGCCCATATGATATTTGAAAGTTAGATTATTATAAACAGGTGAATTGAAGAGTCTACAAATTTCAAAACAATAGGAAAGCAGAGTAGCACCAACTCTTCTTGTTCTTATGACTCATGTTAAGAATTTTCTCTGGTTGAATTGATATAAGCAACTACAGGAAAGCCCTAGAAATCTGGTCCTTTGGAAACGTCTGTTCAGTGAAGCTCCAAAACATGCTAAAGTCAAAGTCAAAGCAGGAGGCTGTTGGAGCTGTGAAGTCCTGTTCCAATAAAAATTACCGTAATTTAACCAACTTTGATTGAGACAGATCCAAACCGTAATAGGTGATGTCCCTCCAGACCTAGTGGACGAGTTCCCTCTAGACCTAGCAGGTGAGATCCCTCCAGAGCTAGTAGAGGAGGTCTCTCCAAGGTCCAGAGATAGTTGTGGGTAAGGACAGCTGAGCTCTGCTAAAGATAGGGGGATAGAAAAGGTGAGGGTCAGGTGAGATGTTTGCACAGGGAGAAGAAGAGAGGAGGGCAGAAGGGCAAGCCAAGCTCAGAAAGGGAGGGGGTGGGAGATTGATAGGAGGAGAGATTTGGAATTCATCCAAACACAGGTAAAGATTAAAGTTGTGGAATTAGACAATATTTCCACAGAAGTGAGTATAGGTAAAAGAAGATGACTTTGACAGAAATAAGAGTCACGGGAACCAGCAGTTAGCGTAATGGCTACGTCGCTGGACTCCCACGTAGTCGACCGCGGTTCGCGTCCCGGACATGGTGGCTTAAAACTCACGCCAGGCGCGTGGGCGTGCATGCCCAAGATCCTGAGAAGAGAATGGAGGAGAAGGGATTGCAGCGTGACCATCCCCCCTGGGGGGTGATTTCTCGCTTTCTATCTCTAATGTCTCTGTCTGTCTGGCGAGCACACGCGCCCTATAGCGAAAATCTCTCCAAAAAAAAAAAAAAAAGAAAAGAAAAGAAAAAAAGAAAAAGAAAGAGTCACTAAGGGATTATGAGCATAAGCAGCAAAGAAGGCAGGAGGAAAGAGTCAGTGGATGCCATCCCCAAAAAAGTGCTCATTGGATTGGTGTGAGACGTTGTAGAACAAGGGTTTGGGAAGGAAGGAAAAACAGAAACCACTGAGTGTGGCAACTAAGCAGATTTCACTTGATGCTCCATTTCAAAGAATTAGCATTAGCCAGTCTTTTTAGTGCTCCAGCCAGGGTTGGGATCTCATTCTCATAAAATCATGACGTTGTTGACATCAACAGGTCTTTCAGCTCCTCGGTTCAGGTCTCTCTCCTACCGAGGAGAAGATCATCCCAAGTGCTCTGTCAAGATCCTTCATTCCTCCATTTTCTGTGATTCTAACTTTCAGAAGTCCTAGTTAAGAATTTTAGAGATGTCTGTGATAATTTCCATTCGCCATCCCTTTGCCCAAGATAAAGACACTGGGTAGAAACCAGAAGGACCTCCTCACTGGAAAGAGGCAGGCACTCACATTGAAGTCAGACAGACCTGATTTCTTAGTCCCAGCAAACGCTGAAGGATTTGGAAAGACTTACTACCGTCTAGTACAGGAAACGCACATATTAGTCTCCTTTCCTTCAACCCGGGGGAACTCCAAGTAGGAGATCGTTAAATGGTAGCTCTCCTTACTATCATTTTAATAGAGAGAGCTTAAGTAGATAATCAGTTCCTGTGTGTTCTCTCCTGACTTGTGCCCCTGGGACCCAGTTTAGGGCTAGCGAATGCTAGGATGTGTTGGTGCCTTCCTGCCATCAGCAAAGCCAAGGCCTGGAGAAGGAACCTCTTGCAGTTGTACAGTAAAGTCATATGCTATGGTCATATAATAAATCTGAGGAAGACTGACTAAGGGAAAGCTCATAGAGAGATTATACACTCCTGAATTGTGAAATTTGCCTTCCATTCATGCAGTTCCTGGAAAATGAGAACTTAGCAAGACTCTGAAACCACAAAACCGAAAACACTTTCTGTTCGGTCAGCACACTCGTGATGAGTTGTTGTGTAGCAGAGTTTGTTGGTACAGTACACGGAAGAGAAAGGTAGCCCTCAGCCCTCGGGAGCTGGGAGGAAGGATTGATTTGTAAGAGCTCCAAACCTAGGAGGTAGCCTAGGAGGACTGATGAAGAGGAAAAGGGGAAACTATGCAGGAAGGTCTGGCTTTCAGGGACTAGTGATGTCCCATGTTCCTGGACTTCCTCAGCAAACTTCGGTAACAGTTTCATTTAGCTAAGAAATAGCACCGAAATAGTCCCTTTTCTTTGACAGGATACTGACACATCCATTTCAGGCCAAGATCAAGAAATCACAAAATGTACAGAGAAAGAGATCTTCACTTCCAGAACATGTGATACTTGGAGTGAAATTGGGGATATGTAAAAATGTCTCCAATTCTGACAATTGCTTGACTGCTGCTGATGCTATTATAATCAAATCTGGCAGTCTTCTTACAAAGTGAGAACAGGCGAATCCAAGACCACCTGGCCGCAGTGCAGTCCGAGGCACTTGTACCCAGCCATGGGAGCACATGCTGGATGCTGTTGCTCTGCAGATGGAAGCCACATGGGAGGCCCGGGTTCCACTCCCAGCCCCCTTATAAAGCCAGGCACCTGTAGTCCCAGTTACTAGAGAAACTGAGGCAGGAGGATCTGGACAGAGCGAGACCCTGTCTGAAACACCACACACACACACACACACACATGGACACATGCACACAAACAAAAACAAACCGAACAGACCATTTGCAATAAGCCAGCCAAGCATTTGCATAGTCCACTGAGTCTCTGGAGGCCTCTTCATCTGGCATGGCATTTGGGGTGCAGGATCGTGTGCCAGACACTAGCTGCCCCTTCACCTCTCTCTAGTGTGACAGCCTCCCCCACTTGCCTTGTGTGTGCTTCTGTTTCTTAGGAAGGAACCTCAAAATTTGCAAACCTGGACAGCAGTGTGAAAGAAAACCAGAAGCGGACACAGAGGCGACTCCAGCTCCAGAAAGACATGGTACGTCCGGCCCTCTCTTCTTTGGGCACCCCACAGGCCTGGCACCCTCTGTCCGTAGGACATCCATCCTCTTCCTCGTTTGTTCACGGGCCAAGCCACAAGAAAGATCGTGACACCCCTCCCCCCCATGAGAGGCAACAGAAAGTAAACACTGAGAGTTGCAAATCATGCTTTCTGGAGCAGTGGTTTTCTGCAGGAAGGACAGGGCTGCAGCAGGTGGGCTTGTTTTCTCCACCCACTCTAGCTCATAGCACTCCTGCCCCAAGGCCTAGATGCTTCCTGGGCTTCATACCGTCCACAGCACACAGTGGCCAAGGAAAGAGAGCATCTGATCCCAGAGGTCATGGTCCTCAGCCTCAGAGGCCTTTTCATTTGTTCCAAACCCTCTGGACATTGTCAGCTCCACTTACTAAGCCCAACAGCCAACCGGGTCCGTCTTGTTTTTTCAATACTCAGAGGAGTAACATGCCTCCCTCCTTAAGACTGAAAGATAGTCATTATCGTCTTTAGCTTTATTTGAAACTTCTAACTTTTAGCACAGTGCGGAAAACCAGAGAGAAGGGATTAGAGACTGACAACCTCTAAATATTCTCAGCCCTGCATCAAAGGCTTTTCGCCATCCCCGGAAAGCTGGCCTCAATCAGGACTGTCTCGAATGATAGGACTCTTCTGTAACACGAAGCCCACAACACAGTCACGGTGTTTCCAACTTTGTTGGTTTTCAAAGACAAGTTAAAAATAGCCGTTACAAAAAAAAAAAAAAAAGTTATTTTAGCTCAGGATAAGACCTTGTACGCATAATGGGGAAGGACACCGCAGCCGAAGGACAAAACCCTCCTTGGTGTGAACCTCAGCAAAGCCGTTGTGGTGAGGGAGCAGCCAGTCTGAAATCAGGCTTCGCCCAGGTGAACTTCATTCCTGCCGAAGTCGCCATGACTCCCTTAATGACATTTCAGAGAAGGTGTCCGTAGGAGACCCCTTTCCCTTTCCTTTCTGAAAGGTTTATGCCTCACTAGCCCCATGGAGAGTAGAGATGACTTCAAAGGAGACATTGGGAAGTGAACGGAGGGTATCCCTGCAGTCGTAGGTTGAATTTCTCTTCCATTTTTCTTCAGATTTTTGCCAGAGGGCATATGTGGCCACCAGAGAGAGACAAAGAGGGAAAGTGAGAAATCACTCACAGGCTAAGGAGGAGATGGCCACAAAACAGTTCTTACTCTTCCATTCTCCTTGCAGGACTTGTGTGTGTGTGTTTTTCAAGCCATCAGGTCAAGAACTCCAACTGTGAATTTGGCCATGTGGGATCTAGCACCTTTTTTTTTTTTTGATAGATTTTTGCTATGGGGCATGTGTGCTTGCTAGAGAGACAGAGAGAGAGACAGAGACAGAAAGCGAGAAATCACCCCCCAGGGGCATGGCCACACTGCAATCCCTTCTCCTCCAATCTCCTTTTGGAATTTCTGGGCACACACACACACGCCCAGCGTGAGTTTTAAGTCACTGGATCTGGGACTCGAACTGTGGTCGACTACATGGGACATCAGTGATGTAACCATTACATCATCTGCTGGTCCCATGATCCAGCACCGTAACCACTGCAACACCTACTGGGCTTTATTTCACCACCTCCATCTTCATTTTGGAGGGAGCAATTTTCTCAAAAATAAGCTCTTTATTTTGGAATAATTTTAGATGAACAGTGTAACTGCAAAGACAGTACATCAATGTTCTGTAAACCTCTCAGTTTCCCTCATTGTTAACATCACCTACACCATGGCACATGTGTCGGGGCCAAGACCCTGTCACTGCACAGTACCAAGTAATTAAAACCCAGACCCCTGGATTTCCCGTTTTCACTAGTGTCTCCTCTCCGTCCCAGGACTCAGTCCTGCATCCCGTGCCGTGTTTCATTGTCTTGTCTTCCCAGGCTCTTCTGGTCTGTTTGTCGTGATCTTGATGGTCTAAAAGAGCCCCTTCTGGGTGTCTGGTAGGATGACCCATCAGCTGGGTTTGTCTAGTGATTGGCCAGAGGTTATGGGTTTTGGAGAAGTGAAATGTCTTCTTGTCACACGTTTAGGATTGAGTGCTGTCAATATGTCATGGGGTCATGTTGACGGAGCCACCGCTGGCATTGACCTTTACATTCAGGGTAGAATTTGCCAAGTTTCACACTTAGAAGTTACTATTTTTTCCCCTTCTCTCCTCTGTTTTTGTTTATTTGTTTCTTTGTAGAGAGGTTTTTGCTATAGGGCGCGTGCGCTCACCAGAAAGAGAGAGACAGAGAGAGAGAAAGCAAGAAATCACCCCCTCGGGGGGATGGCCATGCCATAGTCCCTTCTCCTCTCGGTATCTTGGGCACGCACGCACACATGCCTGGTGTGAGTTTAAGCCACCGGGTCCAGGACTTGAACCACGGTCGACTACATGGGTGTTCAGTGACATAGCCATTACACCAACTGCTGGTCCCCTCCTCTGTTTTTCAAAAGCAAGTCACTAAATGTAGCCTGAAGGGCTGTCTTAGAAGCGATTCCCAGCACTCTCGTGGAACATTCTTCTCTCTGGTGCAGAGGCCATTTCCAGATGGTGAGGCCACCCCTGCCCAGGGCTATTCTAAACCACCAGTGTCCACCTGCTTTGAAAGAGAATGGATGCCCCTGACCTGAGCTTATGAAAAATCTAAGGCCCCGTGTGGACACATGTGCATTCACGCCTGTGACCTCCTGGCTTCAAGGCTTGGTTTTCACGACTTTGAAAGTTAGACGTTATATCGTGGCATTCTTATCCTGTTTGTGTAAAGATTTTAAAATGTCATCCATGGGATTTAGCACTGATGGCCCCAAGTTAGGCCTTGAATTGGGCCCTTCACTCTGATGTGAAGGTTACTGAAATCCGGGTGCTCTTCTGTGAGAGTGAAGACACTGTGCTCTTGTTGCTCTGCAGGGCGTGATGCAGGGCACCGTGCCCTACCTGGGCACCTTCCTGACCGACCTGACCATGCTGGACACGGCTCTTCAGGACTACATCGAGGTGGGCTCTGTACAGGTCATGTAGGGGGCCTGCAGCCTTCTCACTGACACCTAGAAGAGACATGCCCTTTTCTTAGTACCTACTAGGTACCATATTGTGCTAGATGCTAGGAGGAATCCAAAGAAAAACACCAAAAACTAATTCCAAAAGCAGTTCAAAAGTCAGAGATGGGTAGGTGAGTCATGCATTGCTTAATGATGGGGATGCATTCTCGCAAAGGTGGTGTTCTGTGATTTCGTCTTTGTGAGAAAATCAAGTGCACTTAACATGACCTGGTCGGGGCAGCCTACTGCACAGCCAGGCTGCATGGTGTGACCTGTTGCTCTCAGGCTGCATGTCCGCACACATATTACAGCACTGAGTACTGTAGGCAGCTCTAACACAGTGGTAAGTATTTGACTATCAAAACATATGTAGAGGTAGCAGAGGTAGAGTAAAAATAAAATATTAAAGATGGAAAAAACGGTACACCATCCATAGACATGACCATGAATGGAGCTTGCAGGACTGGGAGGTTGCTCTGGGTGAGCCAGTGAGTGGGAGAGTAAATGTAAAGGCCTGGCACCTCCGTACACTGCTGCGGGCTTTATCCACTCCATACTCTTAGGCTAGGCTTCGCTTACACAAGAATATTTTTATTCTTTACCTATGCATTCATCTTAGCTTACTATAACTTTTTGACTTTATAAACTTTCTGATTCTTTTAACTTTTTAACTCTTTGGTAATAATACTTTTTATTTATTCTTTTTTTAGGTTTTTGCTTTAGGGCATTTGTGCTCACTGGAGAGAAACATAGAGACAGTGAGAGGGAAAATGAGAAATCATTCCCCCGGGAGGATGGTCACTCTGCAATCCCTTCTTTATTCTCCTGGGATTTTGAGCACGCACACACATGTACCTGGTGTGGTTTTAAAGCCTCCAGGTCTGAGACTCCAACCATGGCTGGCCATGTCAGAGCCCAGCTCCTTAAACACCACACCACCTGCTGGCACCATCAATAGCACTGTTTAAAAAGCAGCAACACATTGTACAGCTGTATATATCACCCTCCAGGGGAAATGGGCGTGCAATCCCTTCTCCATTCTCCTCTTGGGATTTTGGGCATGCATGCACACGTACCCAGTGTGTCCTTTGAATTTATTCATTCATTTATTTTAATTTGACCCGAGAGAGATACAGAGAGAGAGAGAGAGAGAGAGAGAGAGAGAGAGAGAAAGAAAGTGAGAAAGCAAGTCACCAGGTCCGGGACTTGAACCATGATTGGCCATGTGAGAATGTCCAGTGCCTTACCACCATGCCACTTGCTGGCTCCCTCAGTTTGTCTTTTAAGCCACCGGGTTCAGGACTTCAAACACGAAGTCAGTCATGTAGGAATGTCTGGCACCTTAACCATTATACCTCCTGCTGGCCCACCCCATTTTTTTTATATTTAAAAAATATAATAATAATTAAATAATCCTTTAGTAATTCTTATATTTAATCTGCTGTGGGGCACATATGCTCACCAGAGAGAGAGAGACAGAGAGAGAATGAGAAAGCACCCTCAGGGTGGATGGCCATGCCACAATCCTATCTTCTGCATTCTCCTCTTGCAATTTTGGGCTTGCATGCACACATGCCCAGCATGTTTTTTAAGCCACTGAGTCCAGGCCTTGAGCTGTGCAGTTGGCCATTACAGATAAATGATATGTATGTGAGGGAATGCATATGTTAATCGGCCTAATTTAGCCACCCCACAGCGTGTACATGCCTTGACCACTATGGCATTGGCTGACCCTAATTTTTTTCCTTTTTGTAAAAAAAAATATTTTTCACTTACAAATTTTTTTGTTAACAATCAAGACACAAGCACATTCATTAGACAAGGCCTATGCAGGGTTAGGACCATCGATACTATGTCTTCATTTTCACACCCTGTTCCACCTGAAGGCCCATGATGAGCAAAGCAACATGTAGTGAAGTCACACACGCGAGAAAATGATGCGAGCAAGAGACACAGTTAACTCGCGACACAGAGGCTGCTGCCAGCATAGCCCAGCGTACGGCTTCACGGGAAACTTCTTATAGGTAGAAGAGGTACATTCTCACATAGCGGAACAGTGTAGTAAACACATAACCCAGTAACATGGTTGCTCATTATCACCAGGAAGCGTCACGTACTGTACCTGTGTGTGCTGTCCTCTTATAACCGGCAGTGCACTCGCTTTGTGACACCATCCTCACCACAGACTCGTGAGCAGTGTGTCTCACTGCCAAGTTATGATGGCGGAGGCGTCACAGGAAATAGGAATTTCTCAGCTCCGTTATGAGGGCCAGCTGCTGTATATGGATCCATCGTGCATGACTGTGTCAGAGTAGGCAGCAGTCAATACCAGTAGGAGACATTTGGACAGAAATGCAATGAGAGAACTTGGGAAGTCATGATAAATTTCACATGAAAAGATCTGTGAAGCAAGGAGTTTGAGCATGACCTTGATATTGGCTGGACTTGGGCAGATAGAGCTAAAGAGATACTTTGCCCTGACATCCTACTTGGTGGGCTGGACAGTCCGTCACTCAGGGGTGGGTGGGAGTTCCTCTATGCCTCCTTTTCTGTGTATTGCTACCTGCTCTGTGGTCTGCTCTCTCTCTCTCTCTCTCAGCCTATCTCAGAATGAAAAAAAGGTGAAATAAGCAACCTAATAAAGCACTAATAACATATTAAATGGAAAAAAATTCTGATACTTGAAATGAAAAGTAAGGATTGCCTGTATACTTAAGTAGATCCCACCTCCCTGGTTGTCGCATGCAGTCCGCCTGCCTTCACTGTATCAGAACGAGCAGGAGTAGAAGTTATTTTGCACGGACCCACATACCTGCCTCCACATAGGCCATAGTGTTTTAGATGTGTTCGTTCATTTTCCATTTCCTGAGATTCATGTCTCTTCACATTCTCTGTGTCAGCTTATCTCAGGAAACACCCAGTGTTGGGGAATTCTGAGGAGTGACCCAAGATTTAGAAGTTAAATTCAGCCTACTGAGAACAGGGGCTGGAGGAATGAAGAATCGAAACTTAACCTTTCATGACGCTGTGTGGATGTGACTTCCCTTTTGATAAACCATTGACAATTTGGTTTCCACTATGAGTCACTGACCTTCTGTTTTGTTGCTTTTGGTCAAGGAAGAAAGCCTGGGACATTTACTCAAGCGTGTGTCTTGACTAGCCTGCAGACGTGTATGGATCTGATGTGCAGTTCTTTATCACTGTGATTTCAGTTGGTTTCAGACATTTCAAGAGAAAGCTGTCTGCCTATTATGCCTTATTATAAATTAAAAGAATGTTTTCCTTGAAGCAAAAGATGATTTTCTTATTCTATCGTAGCTGTAATTATAGGATCATTAAGAATTGTGACTTTATCATCCTGTTGATATTTTTTAAATGTGACCTAGAGCAACCCCGGGCTGTATTTCCGTGTAGTTCGGTTGGTCAATCATTTTTTAAATTTTTTTTTTTCAGGGTGGACTGATAAACTTTGAGAAAAGGAGAAGGGTAAGTAGAGATCTTGGCTCTAGTTTTCCAATTTACTTTGTCTGGGCATCAAAAATGAAAGAAAAGGGAACGTACGCTTTTCTGTGGAAACAGAAAAAATGAATTGGCATGCATTATCGTACGCCATTGTGCTCATCATGTCCCTGCACACGAGCCCCTCAAGAGCCCTGGGAGGTGGGCTTTAACATCCTCAGTTCAAAGGTGAGGAAACCAGGGCTCCAGAGATGAAATAACTGGACCAGAGCCACCCAGTAGCAGAACCCAGGTTCCAGTCCTGTCTGTGGCTCCAAAGCCCATGTTTCTTCCCTTCCCTCCTCACCTCCTTCTTTACAGTTAGCTCCAACAAAAACAGGTTGGTCTTTATATGTGGGTAATAACAATGTATTGTACACTTACGAATTGCTGAGTGGTGTTTTTTTGTTTTTGTTTTGAGACATTTTTGCTATAGGGCATGTGTACTTACCAGAGAGACAGAGACAGAAAGCGAGATATCACCCCCAGGGGGGATGGCCACGCCTCAGTCCCTTCTCCTTCATCCTCCTCTCAGGATTTTTGGGCATGCACACATTTGCACCTGGCATGAGCTTTAAGCTGTCGGATCCAGAACTCGAATCCCTCGGTCAACTATGTAGGAGTATGCAATGTAACCATTACCATCTGCTGGTCCTGATTTTAATTGTTCTTACTACAGATAACTGGTGCCTATGTGAGGGAATTCCTATGTTACTTGGCCTACCTTAGCCATTCCACAATGTGTTCATGCATTTCGAAACATGTTGTATCCCATAACTATATACAATTTTTATTTGTCAACTAAAATTGACAATTGAGGAGGTTTCTTAAGAGTAAGGGACATGGGACCAGCGGGCAGTATGGTTAAGGTACTGGACTCCCACCTGGGTGACTGTGATTGAAGACCCAGAGCCGATGACTTGAAAAATCACGCCCAGTATGTGTCCATGTGTGCCCAAAATCCCAGGAGGAGAATGGAGGAGAAGGGATTGCAGCATGGCCATCGCTCAGGGGCTGATTTCTCACTTTCCCTCTCACTGTCTCTCTCTGGCCATCATACATGCTCTTTAAATAAAACACACACACACCAAAAACAAAAAACAAAGTAAATAGCATAGAAAAATTCTGAAAGATGTTTTAATTCTTATGGGTCTATTTGAGAGAAGAAAGGAAATGGTTTTCACCATTAGGTGTAGCTAATTATTATTATTTTTTTTTTTGAGAGGTTTTTTTTTTTTCACTATAGGGCGCGTGCGCTCGCCAGACAGACAGAGAGAGACATAGAGACAGAAAGCAAGAAATCACCCCCCAGGGGGGATGGTCACGCCGCAATCCCTTCTCCTCCATTCTCCTCCCGGGATCTTGGGCACGCACGCACACGCGCCCGGCGTGAGTTTTAAGCCACCGGGTCCGGGACACGAACCACGGTCGACTACGTGGGAGTCCAGTGACATAGCCATTACGCTAACTGCTGGTTCCCAGTGTAGCTAATTATTCTCATTCTTTCCAGTCATGATAGGAAGGGGTATTCAACATCAATTTGAATCTTGTGAACAGAATAGTTTTGCACTATGTTAAAACAAATAGAACAATTTTGAAAATTTGCTTTGGTTTTTGTGTTCGAGTGGTGAATGTAAATATGCATTTAGGCCAGTCACAGTGGTGCAGTGGTAACAGGACTGCATTGCTGAAGCCACTTGGGAAGCCCTCAGGTTTGCATCCCGAGGGCACACACATGCCTGTGACCTGGAGTGGCTGCGGCCGGGGGCAGAGCGTGCTGTGAAGAGCCTGTTGGGAGTGCCTCTCCGTCAGACTTCCATGGAAGAAATAAGTAAACTTAAACAGATACTTAAAGGAGTCAAAGGAAAATGAGTAGCAAATTAATATCTTCACTTTATAGTACTGTCATTGCTCTTTAGTTACTCATTTGTTCTAACATTGATTATAAACCTAATACAGCGGGTTCCCTGCCCTTATAAAATTCAAAATCTGGAAGGAACGTATACAGATAGTTATCATGCACCTGGTAGGGGTCAGCAGGTGGCATAGTGGTGAAGGCTCTGGACTCCTATATGGCTGACCACGATTTAAATCCTGGACTGGGCAGCTTGAAACTCAAGCTAGACACATGTGTGTATGTGCCCCAAATTCCAGGAGAACAGAGGAGAAGGATTTGTGGCATGGCCATCCCTCTGGTGGGGTGACTTCTCACTTTCCCTCTCACTGTCTCTGTCTCTGTCTGTCTCTGGTGAGTACATGTGCCATAAGGCAGCAACCTCTAAAAAAAAAATATGATAATCACACACCCAATAAAGGCCTGTGAGTAGTAGAGACCGAAGTAGGAGTGTTTGTCCCCATGTGGTGGGGCAGAGAAACTTCCTGAAGGAAGAGACATTGAAGTTGAAACCAAAAGGGCCTACAGGAGCCAGTCAGGCTACGTTCATCATCAGCAGAAATACCCCGACAAATGTAAACTTCTTGTCCCTCGTAGAGTGGACTTCCTTCTTTAGCCTAGCGATAAATGTTCTTCGAGGATACTGAGACCGAGAGCTAAGATCCTGGGATGGAAAGTTGAGACCCAGAGAATTTCCCAGTTCTTGAGTTACTTTGTTATCACCCAGTGATGATTAAATAAATAAATAAATAAATGCTATCTTCACATTTACCCGTCTTTGTCCTTTAACTTCAGAATAACTCTACATGGTAATCTCTTTCTTTTTAAGACTAGAATGTTGAACTCTTGGAAAGTTTGAGTATAAAAGCTAAAGCTTATCCTTGCTGTGAGTTTAAAAACAAAACAAAACAAAACTTTATTGAAGCATCCAAAGAAGTATAAATAATTTTGGACATAATTATATACTTGCTTCTCTTGTGAGCTTTAAAAGAGTTAGCTAAATGATTTACTGGAGTTGTAAAAACCTAAGGATTCAGGAAATCTAAACATTCAAGTTTATGAGACCCTGGTCTGTTTAGATATTCAACCCCACCAAAACTTATTCATTGAGGGGCAAGGGGTGAAGAAGATGAAGATGGGGATGTAGGAGTTTCTCAGTTTAAAGTAGTTATTTCATTGTCTTTTAGGAATAGAAATAGAACATTTTCACATATTTTGTGAAGTACTTTAAACTTTAAAAGATAATGTTTCTATCCCTAGAATAAAAATGGGGGGAAAAAAGGAAGCCACCATGACTTTAGGGAGTAACTAGTTTGTGCTGCTTTAGTAGCCTATTTTTATTCGTGTGAGTTGCCTTCTCAAGGAGAAATAAGGATGGAATAAAGCATGCAAGGACTTGAGAGGTTCAAATTTGGACTTTTTCTTTCTTTTTATTTTTTTTTTGGAGAAGTCTTTTGCTATAGGGCACATGTGCTTGCCAGACAGACACAGAGAGAGACACAGACAGAAAGCGAGAAATCACCCCCCCCCCAGGGGGGATGGCCACACCACAATCCCTTCTCCATTCTCCTTTCGGGATCTTGGACACACATGCACATGTGCCTGGCATGAGTTTTAAGCCACCAGGTCTGGGACTCAAACTGTGGTCAACTAAACTACATGGCAGAGACACAGCCATTATGCTAAATGCTGGTCCCTTCCTTCCTTCCTTTCTTTCTTTCTTTCTTTCTTTCTTTCTTTCTTTTCTTTTTTAACCTTGTTTGCCATAGACTGCGTGTGCTTTTGAGAGAGAGAGAGAGAGAAAGTAAGAAATCACCTCTCGGGGGTGGCCATGCCATAATCCCTTCTCCTACATTCTCCTTTCAGGCATGCATGCATATGTGCCCGGCATGATTTTTAAGCTGTCAGATCTGAGACTTGAACTGGTTGGCCATGTAGGAGCCTAGCACCTTAACCACTACACTATATGCCAGTCCCCACAATTCCAATTTTTAAGAGATATTCAGCTATTTTGTTCTAAGAAGCAGTATTTCAAAGTCCTCCTAGATGGTTTTGTTCCTCTTGTATAGGAACACTGTTTTTATGCTGAGAAGGTCTATACTTGATTGGCCTTATTATTCTGTTTCTTTTTGGTATGCTATCTGCTTTAGGAATTTGAAGTGATCGCCCAAATAAAGCTCTTACAGTCTGCCTGCAACAGCTATTGTATGACCCCGGATCAGAAGTTCATCCAGTGGTTCCAGAGGCAGCAGCTCCTCACAGAAGAGGAGAGGTAGGCTAACCCATGTCCATCGGGGTGGAATTCAAGTGTCGATGAGGGGAGTGTTTCATCAAGTACCTTACTAGGTCATTAATCCAACAACTACTTAGTGAGAGCTACGGGGTCCTACAACTGCTTAGTGAGAGCTACGGGGTCCTACAACTGCTTAGTGAGAGCTACGGGGTCCTACAACTGCTTAGTGAGAGCTACAGGGTCCTACAACTGCTTAGTGAGAGCTACAAGGTTCTGGGGTCCTCAGTTTTCAAAGGAGCCCAATGTAGCAAGAAGAGCTGAATTGAGAGCATCAGAAGATGTATTTTCAGGGCCAATCCCATGGCCTAGTGGTTAAAAAACTGGATCCCAAATGGCCAACATCTTAATTCAAATACTGGCCCTGGTGGCTTGAAAAAACATACTGGGTACAAGTGCATGTGTGCCCCAAATACTGAAAGGATGGAGAAATTGAGAAGGGACTGTGATGTGACCATGGTCCATGGTTTCTTTCTTCCCCTCTCTGTCTCTCCCTGGTGAGCACATACGCCTTCTGACTTATAAACAAACAGGCAGGCTAGCCCGGTGGTGTGGTGGTTAATGTGGCTGGACCCCACGTGGCTGACTTCGTGGTTTGAGTCCTGGGCCTGGTGACTTGAACACCATGCCAGGGACATGTGCATGTGTGCCCAAAATCCCAAAAGGAGAAGGGAGACAGGATTGTGGTGTGTTCATCTTCCTGGGGATGCTTTCTCACTTTTTGTCTCTTCCCTCTCTCTCACTTTCTGGGGAGTGCGTGAACCCTATAGCTAATAAAAATGAAACAAAAACAAGCAAAAAGGAAGACGTGCTTTTGGATTCTTGCCCAACCCCTTTGTAACCTTGAATCAGTCTTTTATTCTTCTTGATCTTCAGGAGGCCCGTCTGTAAAACGTATTTGAGGCTCACATGAAATCTTATTTGGGAAAGCAGTATTGGAGTGCTCATTGTCACCATCACCACCATCAACCATGTCGCCATGTTGGTTTCTGTTGTTGATTGATGTTAGTTCTCAGGGAGTTCTTGGTCAAGGGAGAGTGACAGGCTCATGACGAATGGAAATATGGTGGATAACTACAGTGCTGCAGAGCCAGCAGGCGGAGCAATTCATGTGGCCAGAGAGAAAAAGAGAAATGGGAAAGATTTAAAGACACTAACACCTAGGCTGGACTGTGAAGGAGAGGTAGGATTTTGCTGGAAGAACTGGAGGGAAGCATTCCAAACAGAGGACAAGCAGAAGCCGGGTGGCCTGACATGCTTAGCATGTGGAGCAACAGGGGCAACTTGTGTGGCGGGGGCACAAGGGCAGTTTCAAAGTTGTGGTTGATGAGCATAGAGAGAAATGCTTAACTCTAGGGTGTTGAATCTTGGCCCAAGCAGGGTTCAGTCTTTTTCCTGTGGGGTGGTGGTTAACAGATTAGGCTGCAGGTCACATAGAGCCCCCTGCCTGTTTTTACATTTTTAAGTGGTGGTAGTGGGGGAGGGGACAAAGATTAATTTTTCATTACATGGGGCAGCCATTTGAAATGCAAATTTTAGCACCCATAAATAAAGTCTGATTGGAACACAGCCCACTCATTTACATCTTACTCATGGCTTTTTTGTGCTTTAAAGACAGTTCAGTAGTTGCAACAGAGACCATATGGCCCACAAAACTGAAAATACATACTATGTGTTTTACATTCTGAAAATACATACTATGTGTTTTACGTAGTATGTACAGAGAGCAGAAAAAGTTGGCTGATCTCTACTATATAGACCGGGAGATTCCTTGAAAGTTTATTGTATGATAGAGTGAAATTAACAGCAAAATCAGTACTTTTCCAATGAGGAAATTGAGGTTTAGAGAAGCATTCTAACTAATTAGTTAATAACAGCATTTAGATTCAAACTCAGACCTGCCTGACTCTTAAGACCCAAGCTGTGAAGGTTGTACGGTGCTGGGCGCCCTCTCCCCCCTGCCGTAGCCAAATATGTCCACTAACTGGAGCGGCAAGCTTCCACAGAAGGCATTTCGAATCAAATAGAAATCTCTCTGTGCTTGTGGCAGTTGTCGCTGCCTACCATATGGATAGATGTCTGAATCTGGAGCATTTTTAATTTAGGATGTTTTGACAATTGAAAATCATTTATGTATCTTTGTCAAGAATATAACTGCCTGTGTCTACTCCCTGAACATCACTTTATAGAAGTCTCTTTCACTTACCTTAGATCAAAGTAAGTCATGTGCACACCCACACGTGCACACACAGGCATGCACATACAGGCATGTACACCCATGCATGCACACAGGCATATGCACACACACACACATGCACACACAGCAAACAGAGAGTGATACAGAGGAGACGGTAGAGAAGAAAGAGGAGGGAGATAGGAAGGGGAAGGGTTCCTTGCCTGGCGTAGCAGTGGGGTGAGAACGACGCGGGAACAGCGGAGTCAGCTCTCGATGCAGCCGAAATGCAGGCGGCCTCGTCTTGGAGGCCGCAGAACCACCTCAGTTCCTGTGCCAGGGAGGGGGTGGAGAGGAGGCACCTGGCACACACTTGTGAGCCCTGGCCATTAGGTCAGTGCCCTCTGGCGTGTGTGACAGAGCGTCATCAGGTCCTTACTTTGAACGACCGGAGCCTTCTCTAAAACAGAACCCGTGCATCATGTGAATCGGAGTCCGCCCGTGGTTCTCGCACTTGGACCTCACACGCTCCCTCTCTTTCCCAGCTACGCCCTCTCGTGTGAGATCGAAGCAGCTGCTGAGGCCAACACCACCTCGCCCAAGCCTCGGAACCACCACCTCGCCCAAGCCGCGGAAGAGCATGGTGAAGCGGCTCAGCCTGTAAGTATCCCCCGGTCTAGGCCCGAGAGGGTCACAGAGGACAAGTATTCCACAGGGTCCTGAGCCAGGGCAAAAGGGAGCAGCATTTTGCCATTTCAGTGAACAAAGGTTATAATGTCCTTGATGAATCTGACCCTCTCTGGTTTGCCTGTGTCTGACTTTGTGGGTGACGGTCTGCCCTGGCCAGGGACAAGCAGGAACAGCAGCCA